TCAATTGTGTGATGGCGGTCTGACTGAGTCTACAGGTGTTTAACTTCTAGCTACATCATTCGATTCCCCACTTCCATTGAAAAAAACAGTTTTCGATCAATCATAGGCTTATTTAAAGACCTTGAAGGCAGCGGACGGCTTCCGTCATTTAAACAACTCGAGTAGGTAGTTAAGTGAAAAGCCAGTATAAACCGACGAAGCCCTTTCGTTTCAAGACCAATGAAACTGGGTACACTGCGGCTACCCTGAATGTCTATGTGTGGTCAAATCCACTTCTGGTAACTAAACCAGACATCTGTAGTGTCTGTATACTATCAAAATAGAAAATTGTCTCCCACCGGTTCGAGCTCTAATACAAATAGTTATCCGCGATTTCGGCCGATTGCGTGACAACGGTTTCAGCGAGCTGAGAACCAGTGTCAGGTTCGCGTTCCGGATCTGGCCAAGTGATCAAACCCAACCATCTGTAATTATGAGATCACCGGTTAATTTATGCTTCTCGCTGACAGGCAATGGAAAGACGAGTGGTCCATACAAGTGCGGGCTCTCCTGTGCCGGACACTTCTCTTAGACACATACAGTGTTGTGCGATAGGGAAAAGGAAAGTCGTGTTAACAACGCTGTTGTTTTCAACGAAGAGGAAGGAGCTTGCTACATCGTTTACAGAAAGGTAGCTGGATGTTTGAATGACTTGAATAAAGTTCAACCTGGTTGACTAGTTTGCCGCCAAACAGAAGAAGAATCTCGGACATTCGCTTCGTTCCTTCACTTTTCATCAACACTGCACATTCTAGCGGATTGATAAAGTTCTTCAGAGCGTGACCCATATTTTGCAATCGTAATCCCAGTTGGCGACCTTGCCATGTACAGGTGAGCTTGCGTATATGCATTCTTATCCTCATACAACATACCGTACAAGCTGTATCATTTAGCTTGTCTTAGCAACGATTACTTCCGGATACGGAGTATTTATGAAACCAGCTTGGATTACTAGAGCTACTAATGTCCTCCAGCAAGGTAGCATAAGACAGATTACAGATTTCTAAGGTTTATAAGAATAATGCATCACAGATGATCATCATCTTTTACCTGCTTGAAACTTTGTTTATCGCTATCGGTTTTCAGCATGCTGATAATCGTCAGGCAGGGATAAGAGTACTGTGACCCAAATCTGGTACCTAAAGACCGACCTTGCCGGCAATTTCCGTATAAAAGGTTCTTGATGCACTTAAAGAGCAACAGTGAGAATACGTCACTGCTGAGAACAACATGGTTCTGGTAGTAAGGTATCCACAATTAAAGAGCGGAATTCATCCGCAAACATACATTTGCCAGGACAAGATGAATAGAATTGCGAGGGGACCAAACGAAGCTGCTGTGACTAAACCACGTTGGGCCAGTTCGCTTTGGCTCAAATGGAATGGAGAAGTTTACTGCGTACAAACGGGTGTCATCTACATGCCTCCCCTCTAATAAGATTTCAGAGCACGACTAGGTGGACTAACCAGAAACACGAAACCTCCTGAGGCCTGAAGGATTCACCGGTGCAACTGCAATTCAGGGAATGACCTTGTGAAGAACGCTTCCAATCAGCTACAAGGAAGCGGAAAGGACTGCATAGACACTTCGGAAAACTTGGTAGACGACCGGTTAATGTATTTATGGTGATGGACAACGTTTCGCTTTTGACACAAGCTTCATCAGGCGAAGGGAATTATCTTAACTGTGACATTTTATAGCGATTATGGCTAAATTACATACAGAGACGAAGCAAGTTGCAGTTCATCAATGAATGATTACAGCGGTCAAAGATCAATATGTTAGTGGATACACTGTAGCTTGTTTCAGTCAGGGTCAAGTGGCGAAAAGAAATTGTCGGTCCGCGGATAGTTACGTTTGTGGTTAGCAATCTTAACTGAACCATTGCAAGGAACTTGGACATTGATAGAACTTGGCTTCAGTACTTCGTAATTTGGTGGAGGGTGAGTCGATAGTTCATTCCGATTTGGGATCCATCTACGGATGCTTAGCAAGCTGGTCGGAGTAAGACTGGACTCCAAGCACTAGACAGCCCTACTCCTTCTATTCTATTTATGCAGTGGTTAACCTTGATTATTTCTATAGCTTTAGCAATCAGCCTTTGTTTGGCTGATCGTAATCCCTTCCTGATAACCTCCACATTGTCGGAATCGGTTTTGTGTCCCGTGTCTAGCGCACGCATCGCTGTAGAGCTCCATATTCTAGCTCATTTTGTGTAGGTCGTGAAATGTGTCGCCCATGTTCTGAAATCCTTGTACGTAATTCCCTCGCTGTTTGGCCTATATACACTTGTGTACAATCCTTACATGGAATTTTGTAAATACAGGTCGTTGTTCTATCTAAAGGAAGTGAATCCTTCAGATGCACAAGTGTGGATCGTAGCGTTCGACCCTTCTGGAAAACTACCCTTATCTTCTTCTTATTCAATACTCTCCGAATCGCTTCCGAAGTTCCTTCTTTATACGGAATACCCACTGTCGCTATCCACTCTGTGGGTGATGTTGCGCGTGGGTCCAGACATTTCTGTAGCTGTCGTTGCACCAATCGTTTCGGATATCCGCTAGCTATTAAGTTTCATCGCCTCCCTCTGCGCTGCCTTCTTATCTTCTTCCTCTGTGCACAGAGCACTTGCTCTGTGAAATAGTGATGAGAAGATTCCCGCGTACACGTGCCTCGGGTGGCTTGAACTATAACTAAGTATTTCAGCTGTGTGCACTGACTTGCGATACATCGTGGTTTTTAACTTTCCTTCCCTCCTATGTACCAGACAATCAAGGAACGGAGGTGTACCGCTCTGCGACTTAAGTTCCATGGTGAACTTTATCGCATTTTCAATGGAGTTCAAATAGTCTAAAAATTCCTGTGTTGTATCTCTTTTGATAATCGCAAAAGTGTCATCCTCGTAGCCTCACCATATTTTTAGCACGCCACGGAAATTTGGTAATGCTTTCTTTTCAAACGCTTCCATGTACCTATTGGCTAATACGGGGGATATTAGAGATCCCATGGCCAGACCCTGTTCTTGTGTGTACATTCTAGACTGGAATGTGAAATAAGTCATGTCGAGACACAAAGCTATCCCCTCAACCAGTTGATCTACCGTCAGCTTTGTTCTGTCCTCTAAGCTGCTGTCCCTCACCAAGCAGTTTTGCGCTAATCATAACGCCTCCTCCTTGGGTACATTTGTGAACAGGGAGGTAACATCGAAGCTAACCCTCAATTCGTCTTGTTCGATGCTCACCCCTCGCACCATTCGTGCAAACTCATAAGCGTTTTGTACAAATGTGTTCGTTCTCCCTGTTAGGGGTTGCAGCAGGCACGCCAGATATCACGCGAGTTCATGCGTGGGGGAGCCTATGCCATCCACTATAGGTCGCAAGGGAACCTTGGGCTTGTGTATCTTTGGGAGGCCGTAAATTCTAGGTGCAATAGCCGACTTCTTTTCGCCACTTGACCCTGACTGAAACAAGCTACAGTGTATCCACTAACATATTGATCTTTGACCGCTGTAATCATTCATTGATGAACTGCAACTTGCTTCGTCTCTGTATGTAATTTAGCCATAATCGCTATAAAATGTCACAGTTAAGATAATTCCCTTCGCCTGATGAAGCTTGTGTCAAAAGCGAAACGTTGTCCATCACCATAAATACATTAACCGGTCGTCTACCAAGCTTTCTGAAATGATGTCTTCTCGATCGGTTCCAAATATGTTCCAAGATATGGACTGCATGGACATGTTCAAGGGTCATCGGAAGGAGTATTTTTTTCAAATGTGGTGTAGTTTTACCTGAAGGAGGCTCCAGTAAGTTAGTGCTTGCAATCATGATAGACGGCAGCTCATACTACCTTCAGGCCAAGTCGATTTCCAATATTACACAATTGGACGAATTTTATTTTCCCCTCACTAGGTGAAATGGGACGGATGTTTACCCAGTGTAGAAAACATATTTCGGTGGTACAAATTGCATGCGGAAACCTCGGATAAAGTGAATACCCGCATCGATAAAGCAGGGCAAGTCTGGTCATAAATTACATCTTCGTCCAGACAAAGTACCGTACAAACGCTTTATTTGATCGAAGGTTTGATCGTTCGGTGACCGAAAGATATGTAGTTAAATGACAACCCCTTCTATTTTGATAGTATCTTTCTTCCGAGCAGAATGCAGGCCCAATTTACATGAGTAAACAGAAGGGCCTAGATGAAAAATGAAAAGATAAATGCCTTACGGCATAAATGTTTGGGCTCTAAATCACTAGCCATTTGAAAAACTGTCGAGATTGTGTGGTTGCCAGAGGAACTTGGCGCACAAACAACGCGAATCCATGGCATTACTCGATGTCACTGAATTGTTTACAACTGAAGGGTTGTAAGGTCACCACTAGACGCACATGTTGATGAAGCCTACCACACACGACAGATATAAGGTGCGTACACTCCGGCTTTGTCAACCATCCTGCATTCAACAGAGGTGCCTTCGGTGGGACTCTCATTGCCTCGGGGATGTATGTGCAGCACAGAAAAGGGTGCTTGTTTGGAAATGGCCATACATCATGTTACCGGACGGGGCTGAAACAATTCTAACTTGATGCGTAGCTTTGGTGACAGAAGTTCACATACACACCAAATTGTGAGCGTAGGTGGGTCAATATCCAGTGGGACGCAAGCCAGTATCCTGTAGAATGGTTGATCCGTAAGGAATGATATACCAACTATAACATATAGTCAGTGGATCTAAACCAAGGCGATGAACCCATGATTAGTTTAGGTTGGCCAATGGATTGAAAGTAACTATTAAAAAGTTACATCTAAGTAGCAAACTTCCTTTCTCCTAGCAACGTACAAGGATAAAAGTTAGAGAACTCAACGACATCTATAGAATAAATGCATGATACACTGAATGTTTTATATGTCACAATTAAGCCATGATTTCTAAAAACCCCCATAATTCCTTACTCACCGGAAAGTCAAAGTTCACCTGCAAAGGGAAACGATCCAGGTTTCGATGTTCAAATGTCGCTCCGATTAAATTTGACCCATTTATTAGACTCAAAGCACGTACCATCTCCCAATTGGTTTTTAGCGGAAACTCCTGACCCGTCAAGTTGATCCAATATTTCCACCGTGAGGAAAGCCCCAGTAGTACACGACTACAAAGTAGATCAGCATCAAGCGCCGACAGCCTCCCCCATTGAACTTTGAAGCTATCCCTTCGTGGAACCACATACACGCTGTTCCCGTATCGCCGCTGCATGAGAAGCGTGAGAGTCGAGTAAAACCGGTCGTCCGTTTCTCTGTCCACATGTATACAATAGAAATTATGTGCTCTGTAAATCACCTGCATGAGTCGCAATGCTCGATCCAAATCTGTGTATATCATTATGCTGAAAGCGAGTGGAAATTGCTTTTCCTCCTGGTGTACGATAGGAACTAACAGTTTAGGAGCTGAAGATCTTCCACGTGATTGACGGATCGCCGAATGCAGGAGGAGCACTGCAGACACGCTGCAAATCACGAGGAATATGAGGAGATATTTCCGAGACAAAGCAGCCGCGCTGCTGAAGGTGACGTGTCTGTGGCTTTTCATGGGAGAAGACTTCATTAGGTCCGTGACGCAGACCCTACTTCTGCATACTGTTCCACATTGTTCATGGGTTAAGCATTCGTACACAGATTCCGTTCGCACCTACCCAAGTTCACTCGCTCACAAACATGCATGCATGCGCAGACGCACACACGGAAATACTGGATTGGGTGTGAAGGTTGCGTTACAGCCAGTGAACTTACTCACAACCAATAACAAAGTCTACCATTTATGATCCAGTCAGCCGTACTACGTAATAACACTAGTCCGCTTTGCTTTTGGCTTGTTCGAGACAAAGTTCACATTATCCAATGTTATTTCAGCGGCGCGAAAAGCAGGTGCGTGAAATTCGAACATCAACCAAACAACATATCACGTGAATTGAAGTCGAACATGCCGGCTAGAGTGAATCGGGTCAGGGCTACAACTTTCTACATGTGTTATCAATCCAAAACCATTTTGATGCAAATGCTAGTTGCCAAGACGCTCTTGTAGTTATAGGTAGTGACCAAAAGCGACAAGACTACATCCGACCACCCACGGAACTATGAGTAGTAACAATAATTATGTTGACGATAGGGAGAAAGCGCTTGTTAATGCGATGCGTGCCATAATGATGAAGATTTATTTTATTGCTACTGCTTTTATCGGGTTGAACAACTGATGAGGTGTTATTGGACACATGCGATGTCACCACCACGTAACTTTACGCAGAACGAAGTAGTATCTTGGGCATGCAAAATATGCACACCCCTAGTGGCTAGATAAATGAGTCCTCGGACTGAAGACCAAAATGGTGTCCATAAAAATATGAACTCACTGGTCGGTTGCACAACTGATCGCCTTTCGTTACCCCCCCCCCAACCCATGCGTCTTTACTCTGCTTTCGCCTTTCGTCACATGTTAGCGTCAAGTGTGGACATCGTTACCTTTCACCGAGTTAAGTTACCTCACTGATTTAACTTCGTTCGTACTGGGCCCATAGTTCATAGGTTGACTGTTTATTGTGGGCTTTCCTTTGTTCTCACAATGAAGTCCAAACTACCACTGAATAACATTATTCGGTATTTTTATTTACAATTTTCAGTGATTCGCCCAAGTGGTATTTGACGCTTCCGAGCTCTAATCCGATACGAAGTCATATTGGGTGATGGGATCCACTGCCCTTATAATGTTGGAAGTGATTACTGAGGAAGACAATCCTAATCTTGTAAACGAACGTTTATAATATCCAACAGGAATTACTTCATAGCGCACGAGTGGACCAGTTTTGATGTCTCCCTTTGAAAAATATCGTTTTATTATTAGACGACAGAACACTTTATTGTGGTGAGTAAGTCTAGTGGTATCGCGTATCTAACCATGCTATCTTCAGGACGTAGGCTGCCGTGAGTACGACACGAATTTTCTGCTTAAAATTTACAAAAATGTCTTTGCTAATTTGATTTGAGAAGACGTGGAGAAGTGATAATACTTACAGTATCACGTCAAGCAATTACAGTACAGCCTAAAGTTCCGTCTGGACGAATTTTCCATCAACTACCCAGTCATTATAGCTCATTCACCTTTATTTGAAACAGTCCTGATAAAACGACAGCAATCTAGCTTATCTTGGAGACGCCGTTCAACATCAAAACCAAATATCTTTAGTCTTCCAAAAAGGAAGTTGATCTGGAGTAGTGTGTGGAGACCACTAAGTTAGACGTAGACGCATTTGGTTCCCTGCCGTGGGTAGTGGTGCATGATTTCGATGTTCCGTCTTGCAAATTCCGCTCTACCGATTAACGTCACTTTTAAGCCATTTTACCAAGATGTTGAGGAAATCACCGTGTGGTTGCTGCTCGCGAATGGTTGGACCTACAGTAAATGACTTTAGGTGACGTTATCGCAGCGCTAGATGTCATATTTCTTGTGTTGGATTACCTGCCGAGCCCTATCATTTTTTGCATTCCATTCAACCTGATTACAGCAAGATTTTATACATTGCTTATCACACTCCAAAGCGAGCAGAGAAACATATGACGGCTACCGATGCGAATCGCGGCCGAAAATGTCCAACTGTGAGCAGTTTTAAACTGGTCTGGAGTCAATCCGAGGTTCAAGTTAGCCTTCTTCCCATTCCTGCGACAATTCATTACCACGCCATCCTAATTTTTCCTGAGACACAACACCAACAGAGACTAATCACCTACTGACATTACGCTCTGATAGATCTATAGACACAGATGAATGCCCAATGAAGCTTGAGCCACGGATGGCTCAAGAACGGAAGAAGCCACGAAAGGAAGAGAAGCATCCTGCTACTGCTCAACAACAGGCAAGGTGAAGCAAAGCTTGGGTCCACCCTTCTCCCGAAGGAACCACTTTGAATCACAAGAAGAATAATGATAAGAAGGATGATCATGCACCTGAGTCCAACGACCTAACACCTCACGCACGCTCTGCTCCGGATGTTCAGTTTTACGAAGTCTGATGGATAGGCTCCTCAGTGTGGGTGAAGACGTAGTAAAAGCGAGGTAAGTCATCTGCCTCAGCAAAAACACGGCTGAGAAGGACCTAGCTCTGCGGATAACATTTGATGACGAGACCAGTCTGAAACTATTACTGTCTGGGCAGAATAAGCTGAGAGGCGAGGCGGTGTATATTTGTTCGGATATAGCATCAACTGATCGAGAACGTCTAAAATACACCAACTTCTAGCTACAGCGGAGAACCGCTGAGAATAAAACAAACCTATGCATTGCAAATGTTCTGGTGCTCACAACACTCATGCGAATTCGGATAAATCGGTTGCTAACATTTCGGGGTCTCCCGGCAGTTCTTACCTTGGCCTGCATATAGTATGTACAAACGTATACTCCTTTGAACAAGTGCAATGAGTTGTGCCGTTTCGTTGCTTTCGTGCTATCAGATGTAATGGGACTCGCATTGACGTGCTTGAACGGTGAGCTACTTACCCTGGAAGTTGAGCTTAGTGAGTACTCATGGTTTCGCTGTAATAGGTTATCGCATGTCCGCAATAGCACTTTGCTCTACATCAGGTCTTCCTTGTGTGCAAGACTTGGGAGCACCCACCGAAACGAATGTGGTTTATGTGAGCAGTTGTGGCGCCCGATCCATCTCAGGCGCGGAGAGTTGCTCATGGGTGCCTTTCGTCTCATTCTCCTGAGCCAGTGTTTGGATTGACTATCGTATTTCCAGGACCAAGTGAATTACCCCACTTTTTACTCAGTTGTGATTTCAATGACGCCCGAATACGCTGAACTGAAGTCGAACTTATCACCGGATATTGTGAGGTCGAAGCAAAATTCGCTGACATGGTACTTGACATTGGGACAGCACAACACCTATGCTAACCGACATGCTTAACACCACGTTCAACTCCATGGTGTTTGGACTTGATGTGAACAAGCTGTGAACAATATGTGTATGACTTTCGGATTCTGCAGTCCCTGGCAGCGCGCGACTACGCAGTTCTTGTTGTCAACATGGAGCTGCCACTGTAGCAATCCCACCCACGGTAGCCAGCTTACGACTACTGGGAGACGGATTACAACTGCCGGATTCGAGCCACTAGCCAAGTGGATTTGTTTCTGCCGCAATCTGCTGAAGCTTGCTGGTCAGTTATAAAGAATGGAGTAAACTCATTGCGCAAACGGTTTGTAGCTCTCAAGTGTCGGCAAATCGGACTGGTTAGGCCACACTGGTTCAACAAGAAATATGGAAAACTGACTCGGCTGTGGTGCAAGCTGTGGGACAAATTTCTTATCTATAGCTCGGTCAACAACTACGAGATGTATCCAATGCAAAGAAAGATTTGCAGCAGTGCGAAAAGGAGTAAGCGCAAGCAGTTCGAACAGTATCTCGCAACCGTCGCAAAGACCGCCCCAATGAGAACCATTGCTTACGCGACGCAGTATCTGAGGCAGGCAAGTGATCCAACAGTGCTAGAGAGTTTGGACGGACAAACTCTGACCATCCGTATTAAGTGTGTTTCCTCATTGGTGGTGCAGGTCGCTTCCGTGTCTGCAGCTAAGCAAGTGGATGTTCCGAGTTCGAGGTGTGTCGCGCCTACCAAACTCGACAGTCTGGCTTGTGCTGTTGCAGAGGTGCGTCAACCACTCGCCAAACCTGACGAAAACAAACCTACTGGGGTTCACAGGATCCACTCAGTGATTCTCAAGTCCCTATGGGCCATCAGTTTACCTACCGTGACTGAGATGTTCAACAGTTCGCTGTCCGAACTTTCGTTGCCAACCGACTGGAAATGCTCGGAAATTCTCGGCCGATCCTGAAAGGCGGTGTCCTTAGCAAAATATACAACTACATACGAAGTTGTCAGACCGGTTTTAGCCAAGATTGCCGCGAAGATAGTAAAAAGGACTTATTGTAGCTGTTATAATTAAAATGATCAACTGACGCCCGCAAAGCACGGTTTGATGCTAGGCTCTTCATGCAATACAAGCCTGCTGGTGACGAGGCATGCAAGGTTGCAAGCAGTGAACCAAGGGAAATCTGTCGACGTAATCTCCGTCGAGTTCAGTAGTGTTCACCAAGGTGAACAATTAAGTCTCCTGCAAGCTGAGAGTGTGCAGTGTTGGCATCTCAACGCTACGCTAGGTGCTTGCGTTTCTTGTTGGACGAAAGTGGAGGGCACAAATTGATACCCACCTGACGGACTGGTATCCATTGACCGGTGACGTACCCCAAGGCATGATGCTGGGGCGTACATTGTTCCTGCTTTATATACACAATCTACATCGTCCCTTGATCGTCGTGTGCTCTATCTGCAGACAACCTTAAGAGGCGGAGAGGGATAGGCAATTCTGATGACTGCTGCCTGCCTCAAAAAGACCTCTGCAGCCTCTGCATGTGGTCTGCAGAAGACAGTCTCCCGGTCAACCTAATCCAGTCGATAGGCATGAGTCTGCGATAGGGCGGTGACGGTCGAACCTGCACGCTCGACCGCCAAGCGTTACACATCATGCCTTCCGTGAAGGACCTAGGTGTTGCGCTTTGTAGTCCCTGGATAACACGAACAAACTATGTCGTAACGGACTGTGAGTGCTTAGGGAGCTTTAACACAGCTTCTTCATCATTTCGGAAGAGGTTGCCACATGCCTCTTCTTCTCTGTCATCAGATAAACGCTAGAGCATGGCTCACTGGCTTATTGTCCGCCCACACTAGGCGAGGTATAGAAGATTGAAAGGGGCCAACACATCATCACCAGACTCAACCCCAGTTTGCGGGGCTTACCGCATGAAGAAATGTGCTAAAACTATACTTCCTTG